CAAATCGGGATTTCATAAACCAAGAGCCAGAACAGGTTTCACCCCCATCCCACTACCCAAGCTTTTGGTGCTGCTAGAAAGCGTTCAACCGGCCAGATCTACTGAATAAACAGAGTCGACTAGATCGAGATCATAATCTGAATAATCGAGATCTTCATCCCTATCACGATCACCAAATTAAACATCCTTACTTTCCATGGTAATACCCAACAAGCATTAGCTCCCCCTGACTCGTATGCCCATATTGGAAGGCTTCGCTCCACTAACTGGAATTGGCAAAAGATCCCTTCCCAGATTACTCCATTCAACAGCTGGAAATAAGGCAAGGCAGATCATTAATGCGATTTTTTCTTAAAGAGGAACCCTACCAAGGCAGAGAGCATCGGAGCACCGGAAAGAAGCGCTACTCCAGGGAAACACGGGTGACGGAGCTGCAAACCAAACGGAAAGGGCGAAGGAGACGGCGAGGAAGAAGGATCGCAGGTTAGTCGAGTGAAGGACCCGCCCGGGGTTTCCTCGGCTCGCACCGTCGTAATGTAACTGTGCACAGTTATTTCTATCTGGGTTATGTCATTCTGGGTTGTCGACTCACTCTATGCTGCAGGTTGAATTGTTCCAGAACCGCTTCCACGGAATTTTAGGGATTTGGTCTGCTGTATCAATGCACCAGTACGGACTCCCTCTATGGATTGGTTTGTCTTAAAATATCGCATAGTTCCGAGACCACCAGATTTGAGCTGTGATCATTTTTTGTTTTTCTTTCAGTAACCAATTGAGTTTTTGGTGTCCTACCCGTTTGAACCCAATCTCTTTCAATCCATGTTATTAGATCCGAAATTCCATGGACGAAATTGGACATTAAAAAACACAAATGCGTGTGTCTTTCCTCTGCCCGCTTGCATGCACATTGGGCACCTGAAAAGTCCATTCCCATACGTGTCAATCTGTCGCCGGTGAGCACTTTCCGGTTTCTCCACTGCCAGTCAAAAGTCAAAATAGACGTAGGCCTCTTCCATCTATCTCTGTCGATTTAGAGTGGGATTGCTCTGAAGAAAGATAGGGTCTCCCCTTTTTCTTATTCAATTGATAGTTAGTTTTCCGGTAATGCCCCATCTAAGAGCCTATTCGTCGTAAGCCCTTATAGAGTCATAACCTAATCTAATCCATAATCAGGCTTAAGACATGCAACCAACCTCTTCTTAGATTCAGAAAGGGGCAGCCAAAGCAGGGACTTATAAACTAGCATCAGATTCTGGACATATTCCTGCTACTATTAGATCCTTTACTCGTAAATAAACTATGGCAGTTCCTTTAGCAGCTCCCTCCGGGCCCGCAAAGATAAGAGAAGAGCAGGTTCTTCCCATCTATGAATCCAAACCTCCCGAGCAGCTTGCATTAGTTGTCCTTCAAACAGTTCCTTCTCGGGCAGTAACAGCGGATTCGATAGCACATTGTGCAATTCCTCATCTGCATAGGGCATTCTCGCTAACAAAGGAGAGCGCTTCTAAGACCGTTGGGAGAAACTATTTCCTTTCCTAATCTAAATAGTTTTTTTAAAAAGGGTTTTTTGGCCTCAATTCCGAGCTTACTCCTATCAAAGAGACTGGCATTTTACTTCTTCCTCCCTTGTTTTGATCCCTTACTACTTGATACTAGGAGAATCAAGACAAGTTGCTTGATTGCTTGGTCCGAAAATATAGGGTCTTCAAGGAAAAGGTTAGGTGTTAGGGCTTTCTCACAGTCTAGGGACTGCCTTGCTTTTCATAGCCCTAGCTACGCTACCGTAACCAGTCGTTAGGCTTCCCATCAGATAGTTCAGTCTGGCGGCGGAGATAGACACTTTGGATTCGGCGAGCTACTCCGCTTTCACATTCAGATTATAGAAAGATGGTTACTACATTGATAGAGGCATACAAGTATTCAGTTATCCCAATAGTAATAGCCACGGAGCGGTAATTCAGTGATCCTTAACCAATTGCGATTCCGCGCATCTGATCTTTCCTGGTATTCAAATGGTTTATTGGCGGGCAGAGACTACACAGGGGTAGAGGCCCATGCCAGTAGCACCAGTGCTCGCCCTTGTCTTCATTCACTTTTGAGCTCATCATAGGGTAAATCTCCTTATCGTTGGCAATCCCCATATAAATCGTCGGTATAAAGAGATATTCCACCAACGAACGGGCACATCATTAGAGTAGACCAAAGGAAAGAGGATTGGGATGGATTGTTTAATGCCTCGACCGGATGAGGCTATGGAATGAATAGGGTTTTTCCGTTTAGTCACTCTTAGCCGGTTCCTTAAGTTTCCACCATTGAACGTGTGAATCCTCTAAGATCAAGTATCTATCTCTGGGAGGTCTACCGCATCGCCATATGGTTGGCCTAGACTGGGCTAGACTAATATTAAAGGGAATATAGCCCGTCCTCCAGAACGAAGTCTTCGCGGAAAAAAAGAAGGATAGAATCCCTTCGCGCAATGAATCGTCTCGCGCAACCAAATATCCTCCCTATAGTAGTAGGAAAATAAGACTCGTCATCTCTATGAATAAGAGTCGGAAGTATTGGCAGTCGCCTCCTTGTGCCCGTTGTCTTGCAGACCCTCACGCATTCCCGCCACAAATATCGTAACAGCCCTGAACCTTTACCCTGCTCTTCTCCTTCTTCTTTCTATAGCATTGTTGAACCCCATGGAACCCTGGCCCCTTTTTCACAGAGCAATTTCATCGGGCTAATCATTTACGCAGCTTTTTCTTCGTGGAGTCCTTCGAGCAGCCCGACGCATTGTTGAACCCCAGAGAACCCAACCCTTCTACTACGCAGCAGCAACACAACCGCGCCATCAAAGACGCAGTTGAATAGAAGCTGGGGCTGGAGCAGCTCAATCTGCGATTCTACTTTCCGAGAGAACAGGCGGTTAGTCACCTATATGCGTTGGAAGTCTTCGTCCGCCGAGCTCTGAAACCTGCCTTCCTTGCCTTACCGACTTAAAAAAAGATCTGCCTGCCTCAATACCTGCTGACTTACTGGCCGCGTTACTGAGTTCCTAGGAAGGAGCAATAAAGGGGCTGCCATTAGTTAGCAGCAAGGGATTGGCTTAAAGAGTTTGTTGACTTTTTTTAGCCCAGGGCCCTAAAGCCCTTATGTCCCGCTTTGAGCCCTCTACCTATCAATCCCTGCTTGAAAATATGCTTCAAACGCCTTTTTTTTTTTAATACAGAAGTAGTAGTCTTCCCGGGTCTCACTGTTCGGATAACTTTCCTTTGAATCCTACTGCATAGGCAAGATCTCACTCTTCGTGCTGGGGGCGGTTTCACGCTGTTCATTATTTCCGCGATGTTGACTATTCTTTATTTAAGGAAGTCAGAATGGCTTACTATACCAGACCAGTTAAGTTAGTGCTGGATTCGTACTAATAGCGGTTATTCTGCTATAGGAGCCGTTATGTAGCATCTGAGAACAACAAAGCACACGAAAAGACTTGCAAGAGTAAGGTAAGGCTTGACTTTACTAGTCCTATCGCTACGACCCTGACTCGGTTACACATGCCTTGTTTCAAGTTTGAATGTAATGCCAAAGTTTAATCCATTTACAGTCCCGAGAGAGGAGCGAGAGAACAACGAAAGGATCCGGCATAGCTTCTTGAAGCGACCTTTCTTTCAATTTCAAGCCAGCCAGCTTCAGTAATTATCTTCCCTTAATTCTGACCCGAGAAGACGGCACTGATTTCAATGATCTTCTTTACTTTATTTTAGTACCTTGACCAAGTCAGCGTAGAGCGGAGAAGGTGATCTCTATCCATAGGCTTCTGCCACGGAAGATTCTAATGTCACATCTTCCTTTGGATGTCAACAGCTTAACCAATCGGGAATCAACTATCCGAATCCGAGTTGGCGAGAAAGACCTGACATTGGCCTTTATGATCTTGCTTCCCTTCCTTTTACTTTAATAGAATGTCCTTCCTTCTTGAACTCCAGTCACTGCATAGACATCTCCTTCCAAACCTCTAGAGATGAAGATTAGGCTGTCCGTAGGCTTTCTTCCTCGTGTTATAATTTCTTTCTTTAGGCGGGGTAAAATCAATAGTTTAAACCTTTCTTACAGTTCATACTGTAAGTCTTTCTTTTTATTTATCACCTACTTTTTTGTATATAGAAATAAATCATTGAAGTCTTAACTGGTTTCAAAGTCTTTCTTTTTGTTACAAATGCCAATGCGGGTAAACTACCCTTTTAGCTTGAGAGAATCTAGCTGGACTAGCCTATCCTTTATACCGCCCCGACCTTCATCCAGTAAAAGATTAGCTCGTGCCTCTTCCTTGGAGGACCTTACCAGGCATGAGGGCAAGCGCTTGGAACTAGAAGCCTTGTCTTTTGACTCATGTCACGTCGATCGTTGATAAGTGCCCGATCTGGGATAGGCTGGCTGGGCACAGTTTTGAAAATCGGATTATTGAGTTCGCCTGGACTACGCTGGCTTTGGGATGCCAGGCTTGATGCTTCAAGAAAGTTCCAAACCAATCTCTGGCACTTGGTAAAGATTTGTGATCTACTCCACGAGGAGCGGTACGGACGTAGATGATATCATCACGACCTCTCTTTTCGTACCGCTAGGGATGCTTAACGCCACTTCGCCAACTTGCGTTACCTGCGCTTTCGTGTCTCTCAGTGTGGTCAGCACTGGGTGTTTCCGAGCAGCGAGGCTTACACCCATTCGCATTAGTTCATCCAAAGTTCCTTACCCTTGTGCACGAATTATTGAATAAGCCATCTTCCTATCAAGGTTAAGGAGTCAACTGAGCATCTCAGCGGCGGGATTGAATACCCGGATCGAATCAGAGTTCACGCCGCCCGCCCTGAACAAATAGGAGGCGTGGGCCACAGGTCGCACATAAGTCGCCGGGTCGCACGACAGAAGAACACCCAACATAAAGATGCACACTCCTCCATGTGAAATATTCATCTTCATTGGGGCTTTTTTGTAGTAGTCGTGACCAACAGCCATCAGCTGTCGGCTCGTTGGTAAGGTGAGAGCTTCAAGCCCGATTTCTGGTGGCGCAACCCCCCACACAAGCAACCGCCCGACTCAGGGGGGACGGGTAAAGCTACAGGCCCAAAAACTTCGGCCCTTCTTTCTAAATGGGGGTGCCCAGGGCGCCTCATCTTGTCATTTCGTCCTTGCTCATTCCCGTTAGGCTGAAGTCTTTGGCCTTTCCTTCTCCGTGCCCGCTCACGCTTCGCTGACCTATCGCGTGGTAAAGAGAAGAAAGTACGAAAGAATAGTAAACGGAGCACACCGCAGAAAGATTCTAAATATGAGAAATCCCCTTTTTTCGATAAGAAGGAAATGAAGAACAGGAACGAAACGAAATAAGGCCTTTCTAGCTCTAGTTTCGGATGAGCTTCCCCCAATTATGTCTGGTAATAGAATAGGTCGGCTTGCTCTGACCAAGACTCCGCTTTTTGCTCCGTCCGTGGAGCGTATGAAATTCCTGGAATGTAGATAGACCAAAAGAGGGAATGAAGGGATAGGAATAGGAATTATAGTACCATTAGAAGAAGGGGCACCTGTGGGAACATCTCTACTGACGAACCATTTCAATAGTATGGGTGCTGCCGTGCCACGAGGCACGACCATGGAAGTAATGAAAAAGAAAAAGTTTTGTAGTTGGACCATCTGTTCTATCCGTTCGAGTTTTGCTTCTATAGAGAAGATGAGACGCTAAAAATGAAAGTGTTCGCAACGCATACCGAAAGGGTACCAATGAAGCCGACCATTAATGACTAGTTCGAAGACCAAGAGCGGTCTGATCCAAAAAGAAAGCGTGACCTTTAAGGTAGGGGTAATCCGAACTTGAGGCGGAATCCCTCATCGGTAAAGTGGGAGTAGAATTCACGGTATATTTGTGAATTTCTACCGCTTTGGTTTATATCCTGAATAAAGAAATTCAGACTCCCGTCCATGATATCCCGTTGGAAGGAATGTTGCAAAGAGCTCACCGGCTCCACCTTACCCTCAAGGAAGTCGTACGCCTCCGCCCTTATATTCGTATATGGCGAAAGTTCCATGATACGATAAATCTTTTGCTCACCAAACATAAGATCGAAGAGCCTATCTTGCAATAGACCCTTTCTTTCTAATACTGTGAGTTCAAAATATTCTCTATCAAGTATGGCCCTATAATGGGGCACATCAATAGCTTGCTCGAAGTTATTGTGATCAAGCCCCTCATACTCCCCGGGATTATTCTGGGGAGGAAGGTTGTAGTAATCACGGCTCTGGAGACTCCGTATGCGAGCATAAATCTCAGCTTCGTTATCGGCCGCTATTTCGGCTCTAAACGTAGCCAATGATTCACTGCTCGAGGAAGACTCCAAAACCGGAAGACTACTTTCATTTCCACTTTCGGAAGATACTTGCCAAATGCAAGCGCTTGTCATTCCTGCCAGCAGAGAAAAACACAAATATCTAGCAAAAGTACAGAATACGTAAATTAGAATGAGAATGACGAAGAAAAGAAAAGAACTCTTCTTCCCTTTGGAAACTCAAATTATATAAACCAGTATTAAAGTGACCAAAAGTAATAATAAAGCGATGACGGTGGAAATTATGGGGCAGCTGTCCGTTCCTATAAAACGTCCGACAAAGAAAGCCGACCCGAACATCGGAAAAAGCGTAAGGAATAAAGTTAGTGGCATCTTGATTCAGTGATGTGACTTCTCCTGCTCCAGTAAATCAGTCTAGAGACTTGCTAATTCAATTCAATTGCCTTGGTTTTTCCAAGAAATACATGGGAAAAATAGGGAGAAAGAAATGGGATTGTGTCAACAGGCCCCTATTCCGACGAAAAACAGCCCCTTTTCTTTTTGTTTAGCCTGTTCCTATCAGATAAATTCTTAAGAGAAGAGGAAAAAACCCTCCGACATCAATTTCGAAGTGAATTTCCCCAGTTGAGGCATCTTGATTGAGAATAAAGGATTCCCCCCTAGGGTTTTATTTTCAGGGTGGTAACGCGCTACTACTTAAACTACTTATGTTAATTCTACTTACGCTAAATAAAAAAAAGAAATGTAGCTCCCTGTTAGGATCGACAATTGAGAGAAGGGCCCCATTGGAGGATGGGTCCCGAGCGGTTTTTGCATTGAGTTTTCTTTTAGTGGGAGTGAGGGAACGGACTCATCGCTCTCCTGCCGTGAGTCCTTAAAGGCGGGAGAGAGTAGAGCATACTAGGTAGTTACCGAATGCCCCAAAGCATCTTCCTTTTAGGACCGGCGCTAGACTTCCTCTCTTTTCTATAAGATATAAAAAGGCGAAATTGATGCTCTTAACTACCCCTTTTTCTTTGAAAAAACGGAACGAATCGTCGATTTCAAACTGAACTAACCCTTTTTTGCCCGCCCACTTACCCCTTCTTCATGATCCGGCTTGTCCGTGATATGAGAATACCTTTGCTCGAAATGGATTCCGTTAGCGCCAAACTTAATATGATGCCTGCTACTGTGACTTCCAGTGCTCTTGCCCTATTTTGGCTCCCACTCCCACTAGTTCCTGGTCCCTCCAGCTTCAGGTTGTTTTCATGAGTGCGAAGAAAGCGGACTCCTTTTCAATAGAAAGGAAGAAAAAGAAAAGAAAGAAATATAAAATATAACAGAAGCCAGAAATCACACCGCATAGATGAAATGGAACAATAAATGAAGAAAACCTGAATGGAGAAACAATAATTAAAGCCTTTTTGAAGCTCGAAAAAAGCCGGAAAACTGTAAATGAAGCTTACATCACCTAACCTAAAAAGATTTGTGCATATTTTGAAAAAGAACCTAAATCTAAGACTACCCATCAATCATCCAACACAACCAACTATTCAGAAAAGAGAAATGAATTACAGAACTCAGTGAGTGAAATAATACGGCGATCCAAAATAATGGAATAAAAGACCTAGGAACGAGCAAGGAAGATTTTTAGCCCCAACGACAAATGAACCTAGGGGCGGGGCATTTTCGGGGAGTAGCCCGCTTCCCATTACTCAATAGGGCAATTCCTCGCACATAATTAAGGGAGCCATTGAAAGGTGACTAAAACACCAGAAACGGGGACTACCCGAGCTAATGATAGAGGCAAGAACACTTTCCGGCCAAGTCCCATTAATTGATCATAACGATATCGTGGAAATGCTGCACGGACCCATATATATAGGAACAGAAAAAGAATCACCTTGATACTAAATCGGATCGAGCCCGGGATCTTATTTGAAATGGGAAGATCTAGGATAGGCGGCCAACCTCCTGGAGAGAGCGATGTGCATGGACCAGGTGAGTAGGGATGCAGCTCCGTGGACCGCTCGTCGGGCCTGATAGGTGGTGGTATCACACCCTTCTCAAAGGAACCGTACGTGAGACTCTCGCGTCATACGGCTCCGTCCCGGAATCAGGACCCCCCTTTCCTTTGACCAACGGGTCCTCAAACCAACTTGTCCTTCCTTTCTATTTCTCGGTAAGCGGTTTTTTTTTTCATTCATTGATTGATTTGATTCAAGGTAGCTTTAGCTTTGCTTCCAAGTCCAAGCGCTAGCGGTAGAAGCTAGTCGTCAGAAGCGAACTTCCGGGCCGGGAAGGAGCCAAAAAAGGTGAGCGCCCCTGCGCGAGCCTTATTGAAAACAAAAGCAAGAAGGGAGAAAGTTTACTTTGAGAAAGAAGGTGCTTGTTGCCACTTTATTAGTAAGGTTGTTTACCTCAATAAAGGCGAAAACTTGCTTGACTATGACTAAGAAGATAGAAAGGGCTTTTCTCGCTTAGTATTGCTTTGGCTGAGCCCTATCTTGCTGGCGCGGAAGCTACCGCAACTCAAATAAAAAATGAATTAAGGAATAAGACATTAGCATTAGAAAGAGTACAGAGGCATTCCGGGCCGACTACAATACAAGTCATGAGCGATAGCGAAGCCAAGCTGGATAGGCTTTTTTATGTCGAAAGCCCCAAAACTAGCTATCTTATAGCAGACAACTAAGGCAAGCCTACTCAACTAATCTCATAAGTTAAGTAAAGGCCTGTTTGCATCGCAACTAATAGAAAAAGACGACTACTAGACTAGACTAGTAGTTGAGTGCTCCTTGTTGTTCGGATCTTGATCGGGACCTCTACCACTCTTGTAGATCACTGAACTATGCGCCTATCTTCGCTTTTCGATCAGCCGTTGCTCCCTGTTCACTTAGCCTACGAACTCCGGCTCACTTCCAGCTTGGATCACTTCTGGCTCGCTTAGCCCTAGCTCGAAACAGCCAACTCACTTCGCCTACGCAACGAAGAGAAGTAGTTTACTTGCTTAGCTCGAACATGCCAACAGCATTCCGTTCACTTACGCAAGATTCACTCGTTTACTTGTTAGCTAGCGCTATTCCACATCTTAGCTTTCAGATAAGTGGTTTTTTTATTAATTAACAGAAAAGGTTATATTACGTTAACTTACAAACAATGTTTCCTATATCAGTTAGCCATCATGATCGAATTTTTTTTTAAAAAAAATCAGTAGATAATTAAGTAAATTCTAAATTAATCAATCATAATGTTAAATTGTAACAACAATTCGAAAACTATGTTTAGATTTAATTAAACGCAATCGCATATAGATGTTATTGAATGATATGATTATGATATATGTATATTTTATAATATGATGCAAAATAATTACAAAATTATATACATCAACTTAGTGTAAGAGTTATTATTTTATAATGAATGTCTTCTTATTTTTAACATGTATATACAAAAAATTTAACTATATAATTTAATCTACGCAACGCACAAATGTTCGCATAGTATATGTTATAATTGGTTAAATTCATGTATCACACGTATAAGACATGAAACATGAATTTGAAATACATGTCAGACACAAATAAACACGGAATACAAATTTTCAAAACCTATATATGAAAAACGTGTGTCGTGTCAATATCAAATTGTTGGGTATATATTTGAAAATGTCTCAAAATTCTTTATATAGAAAAAAGGTAACATTTCTGATGGATTTTTGTAAATATCCATTTATAAAGAAAAAAAAATAAGTTTTTGTGTATAAGTAATCATATTTATATGTCATTTTCATCATCAAATTTAATAATAAAAATATTGATACACAAGATATATTGGAATAAATAAAACATTGTGCTGATAATTAAATAACAGATGGAGTAATTATGTATTTGTGTGTAATGTGGTTTGCTTTTTCCCTCAATAAGATAATGTCTCCACCAAATGAATGGGATCAAATAGACCATTTAAATCGATATTTTATAAAACAGTGAAAGAGACCCAATGAATTGATAGCTTGGAAAGTTTTTTAATGAATAAAATAGTTGTCAATATATGTGTTGATGGTACTATTAAATATTTAATAATTTCAATTGGATTATTAAAAAGATATTATTGGCAATGCTATTATTTATTAATTCAATTTTTTTTTAATGAAGGTTAATCTTATTTGTGTTTTAGAAACGAATCAAATCTCGAATTTATCATGAAAATAATTCATGATGGTTTTGAATATGGAAAAAGGTGAAATGCTAATTTGAATCTTATATGTCATATTATATTATATAATGAATAAACATAAATGTATTAAATTTAATGGGCAAATATGTCAATTTAAGATGATATCATATTTAGTTCACTTTTTGAATCTTATATATCATGTATTATATAATGAATAAACATGAAGGTATTAAATTTGATGGGCAAATGTGTCGATTTAAGATGAAATCATATGTAATTCTATGTGATATAACTATCTATTGTATCCAACAATGATTAGATCTAATAGAATGTGAGGAAGTGACCACTTATTGGCTAGATTTTCGAATTGATGAAAGAAGTTATGTGAATGAATTCCATTATTCCATAACATTAATTTTAACTTTCTTTTATTTTCAATTTCTTCCAATGCTCAAGTGACCCCAACAAAAATCAATGATATAATCTGTATATAAGAAACGTAATTGGCTTGTATAGAATTAAAAAATATATATAAATCACAACTAATTTGTTTAACATATGGTTTGTTAGACCATCTCCAACGGACCTGCAAATATGTATAGAATCAAATATATATATATATATATATATATATATATATATATATATATATATATATATATATATATATATTACAACTAATTTTCAATTTCTTCCAATGCTCAAGTGATCCCAACGAAAATCAATGAAACTAACACCAAAATGTTCATCATGTTCATAAAGTAGGAATAACATCTTCAGCCTCGATATAAGATTGTGTGTGTTGTGTGAGTTATGCCATCAGGTATAAGGCCACAGTAATAAGTTTTTAGTTTGACTATTGTCGACTAGGTGGCCTTTAGTGTTTACCATCACCATCGGAGCTTATCCAAAGCATAGCCTTGCTATGGTTGCCAATTTTGCAAGTGTTGGTGTTATTGGTTTCGATAAGCATTCATATTTAGTAGGACCCTCAACAATAGAGTATGGGAAAGGGTGACATATGGTATGAGATAGATTTGGATTTTATCCAACCAATACATATATGGATGACCAATAGGGGTGTGGTAAGTTAAATTAACCATATCCTATATAAAGGAGGTATTTCTATGTATTATTTTATTTAATAATGTTGTTTAAGGGATATAATGTTGTAAATTAAGGATGATAAGATTACATGCAACGTAGATGCCCTTGCTATAATGGTCTTTTGTTGGATCACCATATGGGGATGTTTGAGCAGATGATACCTTATGTGCACAGCTCTCTGTGTACGCTCACGAGACGTTGCACAAACACATGATCATCTTTTATCATATTTGATTTCATCACATGTACTTAACTCGTGTGTCATTGATCATCTTTAATATATAGGCATGCTATATAAGAGATCCATATATAGAGTGACATAACAGATAATCGGCTTAATAATTTCTGACGTTTGGCAAATATGAGATGCCACGATCTCAAACATACTAACCACAATATCCAAATTTTACAAGTACACTATTTGTACATTGTTTGATTCTTTTCTTTGTCAAGTTCTTTTGGTATTGATTCTTTATTAGACATGTTTTTATCGACATACATAAATATTATGTGCAACATCTTGCATTCCATAAAACAATAAACCACCTTTCCATATCTCCTTTTTTATAAATAAATTTCATTGATTTATAATTTCACGTTTATATACTCTTGATTGAGTTGTTATTGAAGATCCATTGACAAATGACTCAACAAATTGTCCCTTAAGTCTCGCGTTTTGAGTCTTAAGAAAGGAATATTTTGATTAAAAAAACCCAAATCGATTAGATGCTCCTAATATTTTAAGTTTCTGTTATATGTTTAAACAAATATATATCTAGTAGTCACATTTACAATCATATAATCTTGTATATACGTTGATCATACTAACTATTTTTTATAACTAATGTATAAAATTCGACTCATAATATATACTAAGCACATTTACAATCATATGATCTGTATATAAGAAACGTAATTGGCTTGTATAGAATCAAAAAATATATACAAATCACAACTAATTTGTTAACATATAGTTTGTTAAAAACAAATATAATATATAATATATAATATATAATATATAATATAATAATAAAAAATAGACTACGATAAAGATTGTTGTTGTGGCGCATTTGAGAGAGAGCTACAAGAAAAGCCAGTTGTCACAACCGAACCCCGACGGTCGACGGACCCAATGGGTCTCACTTCACGTGCCTTTTTCACTAACTTACGCATCCAGGTGGCACAATAAGAGAGCGGACACGCGTCTTCATCTTCTTTATCCAAAAATTGGGGACCACACACTTCCATGTACCGGAGAAGCAGCACACCAGATGATCAATCCCCCCACGCAGCCTCGAGTCGCGACAAATAAATTCAAAACTGTAATTCCTATTTTACCCCTTACGCCCAACATTCAAAATCCGTTAGCGAGTACGACACGTGTCCTACGGTCAAATTGGATAAACTTAAGGTAACTAATTATTGCGGCCCCGTCAATCTAACCAATCACATTACACCACAAAGTTAGAATTGGATAATGGATTTACCAAAATAACATAAAATAATTATAAATTACAAAAATATAGTTACAAAATATGAATATGGTCTTCATTTTGGACGATATTATATTAGGTTGTTTTAGTAAAAAACTAAATAAAGAAAAAAATAAAAATAAAGAATAGTTTAAGTTTAAGAGAGAGAAAGAAAGCTTATCCATTGGGAAGCCTTTATAAAAGCAGAGTAAAACGATCATTTGGTTCATCTTCATCATTCATCAACAATAGCAAAAATACATTGATTGAAAAAAGTTTTGAGACATATTCGAATTTTGTTTAGAGAGTAAACTACTTTCATTTTTCAATCCATTGTAATGGCGGCATCCAAGAGTTACTATGCTAGAGCTAGACCAAGCTACCGGTTCATCTCCGACGAAAGGAACAGTGCCGTCGGATCGGATTCGTTGTTTGAGCTCGACGAATCAGATGTCTGGAATGTTTCCGTGTCTCCGGAGTTGCGTAAGACGGTGCCGGGTTCTCGGATCACGAAAAGGTCTTCGTCGGTGGCGGTGAAGCGAGGAGAGCTTGGAGGAACGGCGTCGTCGATGCCGGTCAATGTTCCGGACTGGTCTAAGATACTCAAACAGGATTACATGGAGAATCGGAGGAGAGACAGTGACGACGATGATTTCGATGATGATGATAACTGCTCTGGAGATCGGATTCCACCGCATGAGTTTCTGGCGAGGACGAGAATGGCGTCATTTTCCGTTCACGAAGGAATCGGGAGGACTCTGAAAGGAAGAGATCTGAGCAGGGTACGAAACGCAATTTGGGAGAAAACCGGGTTCGAAGATTAACACTGAACCTTTTTTCACTTCTTCTTACTAAATATCTGCGGATGCGGAATATTAACACTCAACAGAGAAATCTCCATCTCCATTTTTCTTCAAATTATTTATTGATCGAACACCAGTAAATGCCCTTTTTGTGCCCCAATTCAGCAATCTCTTCGTTTTGGTCTGATTTTGCTTTTTTGTTAATTGTGATGGTGAATCCGTTTCTTGGACAGCCATGGGAAGCGAGAATCGGTAGTTAATTAAGATTTAAGAATGTAAATTCTGGATTTTGATATGAAATAGAGATTAGTTTTGAGTTTTGATGAAGTGTTTCTGTTTGTTGTTGAAGTTTTCAACAAAATGTTGTTGGAGTTTTCTGATTTGTTGTTTCACCAGATAAAGTCGAACAGTGAGGAAACAGCATCCCAATTACGGGTTGGGTTCAAAAGTGTTATGAGAATTTTTAGAGAGCATATTCGAATTAAACCATAAAAAATATCTGTTATATTTTTCGTAAATATGTATTATATCTTTAAAAAAATAATTGAATTCCGCGTATTTGTAACACTGAAACTCGAAATATAATCATGATACTTTTGAGTTATAAAAAAGTTTATATCCATCAAACTTTATTAGAATTATGAGAAATTATATTATATTTTCTTTTAAGAAAAATAGTGATTTATAACCTCGTCTTCAAAATATATAAAAAAATGGTTGTTAAAGACTTTTTCTAAAGCTATGACCAATTTTTTTTATTCTTTCACGACTCCATTCATATTACGAATTAGATTCGTTTTTCACCCTCCTATCCACCACTCTACCACCCACCCTCCACCGGCCACCGACTGCTCCACACTGCCCACCTCCATCCACCAGGTCGACTCTCGTCTCTCTTTTGTATGTGTTCAAATCGCATTTTCTATCTTCCTAAGTTAGATATAACCATGAAGATCTTTACCCCCATCAATTTTGCTTTCAAGTTTCCATGTTCAATTTTCAATCCATGATTGTTAATGGGTATCAAATGGTGTTGCTACGTAGTCTTTCAGATGTCTAATTAGTTTTTGGGTTGTCTCCTTTTCTAATGCCCAAATAGGAAAGCATGCTATAAAAATAGACAATGTTAGGTTAGAAAGCACTATCGAGTGATAGACCCCGATATTGCTCTCTGATGCCTAAGTTAGATGTCGAATATGAAGGTTGCAAAATTGCTTATCACATAAAAGTTCTACCTCTTTCCTTTGGTGATGCTTGCTTTTATAGATTTCCAAAAAAAGGTTAGTTCAAGCACTTACCCGATTTCTTGCATAGTCCGCGTAAGGGCAGCACCTACTTGCCTTGTACCTCTTTATATTTGTTTATTACGGGTATCTGTATGTTATGCTTTTCTTGGAATATGTTTGTTCTAAGGCACTTGCCCAACGTGCAATTCTATTGACCTGTAGTTAATTCTTGCACAACGATGAATACTTCTTGCCATTGAGTTTTAGTGTTCTCGGGTCGATATTTGCTTGTTTGGCCGACCCAGATACACCGTTAAGTCTCCTGAAGGGTAAAAATGGCTCCAATTCTTTGTCGTTGACACTATGATCGCTCTTGGTAATCGAAATGACGCGCATGAGTCAGTTGCAATCTTCATTAAATGCAGTCAACCCGTCGGTTAGTCACATCCATTTGATTGATTAGATTGACTAATTAATGCTTAACCGATTCATATCTTTATATATTGGATAATGAGATTTTGGAACCTTCTTTGTTTTGTACCTCTCGCTTTTTCCACGTCCTTTTCTGACATGGCCTTTGACATGTCACCTATTATTTCCGATGTTGACAACTTCACTTTAGACGGGTATGTTCATGAGTACCACTTGTCTATCGTGCATGGTGTTTTACTGCCCTCTTCTTCTTCCTCTATTATTGAACCTCCGACAGGGGCCTTTGACATGTCATTTATTCTTTCCGACGTTGACAACTTCACATTAGGGTTCTACCTTAGGCACCTTGTTTGTGGGTTGAGACTTCCTCTTAGCTCTTTTTTTTCTTGAAGTGTTATGTTCGTATCGCGTCCATCTAATACAACTATGTCCTAACGATGTTTCGAAAGTTATAGCCTTTGAGGTATTTTGTGTGTCTTCCTATACCTTTGAGTGTACCGTTTTTTCGATACTTCTATCATTTGAAGAAATATAGTGACTAGTATGCTTTCAGTAGTCCTCATTTTCCTTTAATTCATGATCTCCCATGGACGACCAGTGGATGGAAATGGATATTTTGTTGGGTGGATTCAAGTAGCATGTTTCTTCCTAACGTCCTTGGGTCGTTATCGAATGTGGATGATGAAGATCCTTTAACCACTGGTTTATATAAGTTTATTTCCTCTTTTTCCCGTTATTGCATTAAAATTTGTTTCTTCCCATAGGTTTTACTTGCCTAGTGTGGCACGAGTCTCATTTGGAAAGCTCGTGATGAGATACATGTCTTGTTAGTGAATTCTCCAGGTGGATGAATGTTCTTCTTGTTGTTCCTTGATGTGGTAATGTATCTTGGTATCACTTTATATAATTAATAAATGCTTGCTTTTACTGTTGCTTGAATTTACTCTTGATTGCATTTATTGTTGTAGTGAAGAATAAATGCACTTTAATTTTTCTTCCTACGTGTCTGGTGGGATCGCTCCCCAGGATCTCGTTGTGGAAAAAGTTATATCCACTAAGACTGTTCATGTATCTTTTGTTGATCCCACCAGGTCGTCTTTGCATCTTGTTGTGTTTGGGTTAGATGTTTTCTCCGTAAATCAACTTTTGGTTGCTACATTTGGATAATGGTTTTTCCAACATACTCTTTGATTTTGATGGGGATATTGATGCTGACGTGACTCCCCTTCATGCCCCTATTCCAAGTACCATTGTTGGTAAACATAAACATGTGTCTTTTTCAAGCCACTTTAATGATTTTTTGCATGGGGTGATGAATAGGTCTTCGTCAAAGGCATGCAATTTGGTCGAGATTCATGATCCTTCTAGATCATCTTCTGATGGTATATTTTAATTTGCACTCGCCCCCCCCCCCCCCCCCCACTCTTTTATATAATTATTTTTTTATTATATTGTGCTTATTGTAAGATCTTGCCAATGTTTCCATATGTTAAAGGAGGAATTGGACGAGGCATGTCGAGTTATCGTTCGAGCAGAGGATATTTTAGTTGTTGTAAATGGGAAGGAGTTAAAACAATGTGTAACATCCCAAAATTCAAGACCAAAAATTTCATTTTAATAAAGTTATTATAAAACCAACAGTATAAGAAAACATCCATAATAACATCCCATGAAACCAAAATGTCAATAATCAAAACATGTTATCATAAAATAATATCAGAGTGTAATCCCAGAGATCTCATGTGCGGAAAACATAACCAAAACTGAAAACTGTAAGCACGAAGTTTAGTGAGTTTCTCCATCATACCACATACCATATAGACACATAATGCCTAGCATGTCTGGGTGCTGGCCTACCCTTTAGTATCTTTCAACCGGTAACTGCCTAGTATAATTGGGTGCTGGTTTCCCCTTCGGTATCTTTCAACCGGTAACGGCCTAGCATAACTGGGTACTGGCCTCCCCTTCGGTATCTTTCAACCGCTAACTGCCTAGCATAACTGGGTGCTAGCCTCCCCTTCGGTATTTTTCAACCGGTAACGGGGGACTATTTCACCCCTACCACTACCACATAATACCCTAGCATATACATATAAATCATATACTGCCTAGCATATCTGGGTGCTGGCCTACCCCTTCGGTATCTTTCAACCGGTAAACAGGGACTATTTCACCCCCTCCTACCACTACCACATAATAACATAGTATACGAGCACATAAAACATAACAGATATTGACATACTAGACAGTTATCACAAAGACAATCATCTCTACTATATCTCCGACTAGTGGGCCGACATTGGTGCCTTAGACCCACTTCTACTGGAAGGTAACTCACCTCGCACTGCTGAAGTCCCGCGGACAAAACTCAAGCTGTTGGATGACAGATTCCCGAACTCTCAACATCAAAATAACACCCAATTATTAATTGGGTTCCAATACATCACCATAAGTCCATGCTTGGGGTAAAAGACTACTTTACCCCCATCTTAGTTTGATTCAAGCTCAAAGCCTAATCCAAAGGCCTAAAAGTCAAACTATGAACCAAAGCCCAACATATGGCCCAATTTTCCAAATTGGGCCCAAACCTCTACATGGTCTTATCCTAAGACCCAATTTCCAGTCCAAACATTTGGCATTCTAATGGTCCAATATCTCATAATCATCAAGGCCCAATTATGGCCCATCTGTTGGATAAGGTGTCTAAGTCCGTAACTATATTTGGTATGTACTTGACCCGACCCGGCATGGTCCATTTGGGTTGCACTTCACCGAAACAATTTGTATGGATAATCTTTTGAGAATAGTATATTTATGATTTATTAATATATTATAAGTTATAATATATTAATATGAAATCATATTATTTAATTAGTATTGATCAAGAACTAATTTGGAATTAATTTAGTGATCAAAAGAAACTAATTAAGTATGGAATCTTATGTATATAGAATGGGCCAATGTTCATTTAGGATGGGCTAAGCTTACATGGATAGTCCATGGAGTTTTTAACCCATGGATCCTATGGAAATGAAAGGTCATGGGTATTAGGGTTTACATGGATGTAACCCTAATCCACCATACTATATAAAGAGGTCTTTGGCACATGAAATGGCACTAGTGTGTGTGAGAACAAAGGTGGGCCGATTTCTACAAGTGCATACTGTTCTCTCAAGTTTTTCCAAGTTGTGTGGTGATTTGTGATTCCACTTGAGGCATCCACATTATTGGTGCTAGGCTCTCAAAACTCCAAGCAATCAACCACAAGGAAAATGGTATGTCATTCTACTAGATTTTATGTTACAAGTACCCCATGATATGCTAGTTAGGATGAAAAACTTGGAAAAATCAAATTTGCATGTA